CATCCAGCCTCCTGATAATGAATATCTGGGTTATTTCCAGTGTCTCAAAAAACTTTTAAATCTTTCATGAAATATAGCTTAATTTATTTAACCATTTCCTTATTTCTGTGTGTGAATGTTACTCCAAATTTTAAATTAAATTCTTAATTTTTAAGAATATTTTATAATTCTCCTGCAATAAATAATTTTTGTAATCATGTAACTCAGGGGTTAGCAGACTTTTTTGTATATAATTCCAGATAGCAAATATCCTAGGCTTTGTGAACCATTATTTTCAGCTTTCAGAAAATGGAATTACTAAGTATTCCATTTCACGGTGACTTCCAGAAAGATTGTTAGCAGTTTATACTGTCACTAGCAACTTATGAGACGCTCCTCTCACCTCGCCATCCTCAGGATTGAGTTTTATCATTGTTTTAAATCCTGCATGATTTAATAGGTAAAATACAGCATTTCATTTTGGTTTTAATTTGCATGTCTTTTGACTGGTGAGACTGAACTTCGTATGAACTCTTAATATGTTCATTTGCCTCCTATATGTACTCTTTTGGTAAATTATCAACAGTTAATAGAACCCTCCTACCCACCTTCAATGGATGTGGAGCCTAATACAGAAATACAACTTTGTATTTTAGGCCACTTAGGAAGTGGGGGTTAACCCAGAGTACCCTAACTTTACATACCTTTGCCCATGTCTTCTATTGAGAGTATGATAGAGACTGCTAATTAATTATTACCCAAAATCCTTTACTCACTGTACTAGCAAGTCCCAATTTAAAGCTGGGCACATTTCCAGGTTTGAGACAGGACTAGACAGGTGGGGCATGAGACGTGCTGGGTTGTGTGGTACTTCCCAAGGATACCCTTAAAAGGGAAGGACACTCTCACCTTCCCCTCTGTTGACTCTGCTGCCAGGAACATGGATGTGATGCTGTTTGCTCTGGCAGGAACAGGAGGACCAAGGCCACCCTGGGAATGGTAGAATGGTTAAACTGCAAAGAGCCTGATTGCTGGTGACTTCACAACCTGTCTTGCACTGCTAATCATCTCCAGACTTTGCTCACATCAGCCACCTTGCTGAAGTCACTGTGCATTCTGTTGTATACGTCATGCTTACTACTGTGGGGCAAGGTGGGCAGGGGAAGAAATCCGTAATGTTAAAATTTTATACAAGACCATTACATTAACAGTTTGTCAGGCAGATTTAAGGCAACTCTTGTTCTCATTTTTAAAAAATTGTTTTCAACGTTGCTTTCAATGTTGTTCCATGACCTACAAGTTTTTTAATTTTTTAGTACTCAAGTCTGTTTTTCCTTTTATTTCCCCATTTTCTTTACTCTTAGTCTTCATTTAACTTTTTTTTTAAAAAAAGGATACAGTTTCTGTAAGTGGATCCAAGTTACTGAAACAAGAGAAATGTCAATAGTAAGCAGTGTTTACAAAATCAGTTCAAATAAGCATCCTAAAACTAAAACTAATATGCTCAAGGAAAACAAAATGTGCTTAATTCACAACTTTAAAACCAACTTTAGGGCTAAGGAAGATGGTTTTAACTACCTAATGGCTATGAGTTGTTACAGTGACTATACAGGTATTTGTACATTTTCATTTAACTGCTTCTTTACAAATTAAAAGTTAATAACTCTACATCAGAATCTTCCATTTTGTAAATGGCAACAAAAGCTGTCAATGGAACTGGAGACCAACTAGGCAAGTATCTTACACAGATAGAAGATCAAACTCTCCCACTGCACCATCTCTGGGCCTTCCCTATTTCTCCTTTCTCCTTTATTCCACCCTTTAAATATGAGCACTCCCACCACTCGGTTTATGCTCCTCCTCCTCTTCTGCATTCCCACTGCCCCTTCTTCACCACCCCCACTCTTATGCTTTCAATTATGTATTCTCGGAGGAAGCCTCCCCAACCTCACTCTGGTGCTATGGGCACCTCACCAGCACGTCCCATCACACCACCCCATTCTTTGTGTGTGTGTGTGTGTGTGTGTGTGTGTGTGTGTGTTTACACCAAAATACACATTCGTTTTATTAGTTTTTTTTTTTCATTAAATTTTCATTTTGTCAATATACAATGTATATGATTATTATGGCCC